CCCCACACACACACACACACACACACACACACACACACACACACACACACACACACACACACACACACACACACACACACACACACAGGTCCAGGAGGCTCTTGGTTAGGATCAGAGTCAAGGCTGGGCCTTGAAAATACCCTGCTCGTGGAGGAGCTAAGTCAAGACCTGGCTACCCTTCTTGGATGACCCAGATGAGGCCAAGCACCAATACTCTCCAGCTGAGGCTAACAAAACCTAGTCAAAGCTAAGCATGGGAGACCATGGGAGACAGCCAGAGAAGGCACTGGCAGCAAACACATCCATCTGGTGTTCACAGAGATGTTCCTGGGAAGCACTTTGTTAGAACCTGTGCCATGAGGGAGGACAATCTGTATCCAATGAGTGGAGCTGACCAGACAAAAACGTCCTGTAGTGTTGAACAAGGATGAGAATATACTACGCACTACTGAACTGGACACTTACAATGGCTAAGGTGCTAACTATAATGACATGAAAAACAAAAAAAGCCTTCCCCTGATACTGGGACTAAAGCCTCCACCCTTGTCTTAGCCCCAACACAAAGCACTGCCGCAGCTATGACGTGGTAAGAGGTCCAGGATGACCAGTCACAACTAGGCCACTGTAACCAACAGCTCTACACCAAGTACCTTCTTTTTGCCAGCTGGTGTTTCTAAGCATCCCAAGAAGCAGGAAAATGAAACTTCAGAAAAATCAATGAAGAGGAAAAACCTGACAAGGAAAAAGGGCCTCATACACCACAGGAGAACATGTAAGAGACCCTGGGAAACAATTACTGCTCAGACAGATGTCCAAGCAGGACTCCCAAGCCCTGTTTCCCACACACAGGAGGGGCCACTTCCCTCCCTCACCCTTAGAGCAGGGCATCACAAGACAACAAACCCGAGCTGGGCAAGGATTTGAACAGAATGGCCAAACACAGGAAAAGAGGCTCAACATCATTCGCTGTTGAGGAAATGGAAATCTAAAACCACTGTTAAGATGCAAGGAACATTCTTTTTTCTTTATAGTGCTAGGGTCCAATCCAGAACCTAGTGCATGCTAGGGAAGTATTCTTTTGCTAACCTACATCCCCAGCCCTGAATGCTACAGTCAGAGACAGTTAATAGTACTGGTTAAGAGGTAGGGCAATAGAAGTCCTTCCACACTGCCACAGTCTGGTAGTTCCTGGAAATGATAAACCAGGAACACCAATTGATCAACAAACATAGTCCACACAGAAATTTACACATGTGTATTGACGGCAGCACTATTCACAACAATCAAGAGGTGAACATGGCCTGAATGTCCACACACCAAACAGATATACACAAAGTGTGGCATAACCGTAAAGTGGAAGATTTCTCAGCAGGTCTGGCCCTCAAGCCTCACTGCTCAACTGGACCCTGATGAACACCCATCAACCAGGAGCCAAAGCAGTGGGAAACAGCCCCTGCCAGGCCTCTGTGGAAGCCAAAGGGCATTCACTTGGGAGAATACAAGAACAGCCAGGGCCCACAGCAACCTCTCTGTGCAAGAGCTCACTTCACAGCCTTTAAGACAAAGCAGAGTAAGAATACACTGTACCCACTGTCTCCAGGATGGCAGCCAGGAGAGCACCCCTCTCCTACCCTTTATCTAATGAGCCACCAACTCAAGTACACAGAGCTGTAAAGATCCTCAGGTTTCTACCTGCATTAGTTTCTTCTCATTAGTAATCAGGAACCTCCATCTCAAATGCCCTTCATCAAGTAAAAGCAGGACTACTTTATGAAATAAATGCTAGCATTCATTGGCCACAGGCAAGGCCCAACCACAACTTCATGACTTAGAACTAGAGGACTGGGTCCTGAAGCAAGCAAAGGGAGGAGCCACATCTAAGGCAGAGCAAATAGACTTCACCTGAACTGACTGAGGACAAGGGAAAGGGCATGTTAGAAAACTTGTTGCTATCTTATATTTCAACAAAATGTAGGCATAAACAATGCTACACTAACTCTAAGAGGAGAACTGAGTTCCTGACTGACTGGGGAGCTCCTTTCCCCACCATGCCACACACAGGACTCACCACTCCTGCACTTCCCACATACATGCACTGAGCACTGACATCACCCAAGGCAGAGGAACATCACTCATGAAATCAGGATATGAAGACAATGCTGGTTATTGCATGACCCTGGACTATGATGGCATGGACCCTGCCATGGTGACATGTATGCCTATGTCCTACCAGCTCAGTTCCTGGAGGACAGAAACCACACTCCTTCTGAGTTCTTGGGACTATGCCACAGGCCAAGCATGAGCTCAGCTTTGATAGGGCAGCCTTCAGGCCCAAGTTCCCTTGCATTATGCCCACCTACAACTCATGGATGAGAAACATGATTACAAGTCTTCTTCGAACATGACCATGTCTCCATAACCACTGCCTACTCCTGCTGTCCTCTCAGAACTCAGTCTAATCAACAATACATACCTCATGCATACACATGCCATTGCCTCCCCACAGCCTACTGTCCATAGCAAGCCAGGAAGCCCCCAGATAATGCCCTGGCCATTTGGCAATACCCATGTCAAAGACCTCCTCATATGACTACAAAACCACTCAGGAAGAAAGGGAAAAGAGACAATCAACACCAGTCACAGCCAGCTACAGAGCACCCAAAGACTCAGGTGGACCATAGCTTCCGTTGGCTTTGGCTCGTACCAGGAAGTCAAGCAGCTCCAAGGGTTCTGGGTCCCACATCCAACTCATACCACTGTAAGCATAGCTCCTTGCCCCATCTGTGAAATGGGTCAGAAATCAAGCAGTGCTGTCAGAGATTCTGCACAGCCCATCCTGTGGCCTGGCTGACACTAAGGCAGGCATTCCTCAGTCCCAAGTTGGCCCCTGCCAGCAGATTTTCTCAAGGCCACCCAAGGCACAAGTGCAAAAGCAAGCACCAAGAGACTGTGCACAGTGGGAAACACTTTAGGACAGCAAGCTCCTCCTGGAAAACTCTTGGGTCACAATCTCATTCAGGTCATTAATCTGACTTTTATCCCACACAGTGGATGCACTAAGTCTTTACACCAGACAGCCCTAAAAAAGTGCTTTGGACAAAGACAACCATGTTTGTTTACTATATATAAGAGGCCACTCACAGATGTGGAATATTCAGACTGCAAATCTAAATGAATGACTGAAAATACTTAACAGAAGGAGAACACATTGAAGTAACATGAGGTTATCTAGAGAAAAGGTTTTAAATATCTCTGGCACACTCAACCTACTCTCAGTCAAGGTCACAGTGATTCTGAGGTGGCTGCCCTGAGCATCAATACAATGCCAGTCTGTCCAGTGACTAGAAACACTCTACAGCCCCTCCCAGACCTCTCTCACTGTCCTGACTTTGTCCCTCTCTGACCCAGGGCACTCCCTCCACGACCTCAGCCCACCTCCTGAGAGTCCACCCAAAGACTAAGGTCAGCTGGAGTGTGAGCGCTGCCACCATGCATATGACAGCCCCTGACCCAACACAAAGCTCTTCACATGGTCCTGCGCCAGATCCTGCCACACACACTATGCACACACAGTCCCTCTCACATATGCTCATTCTCGCATTCATATCTACATTCATACATGCTCACAGGAGACATTCTCAAGACCACCAAAGGCATAGGTGTGAGAGGTGTCCAGGCTTCTGTGGACCTTGGCCTAGAGGGGTAAGAATGGCATGTGAACACATGAGCATGTGTGCATATATGCAGTTGGGTATATGAAGACTGGACTCAGTTCTGAGAGGAGGATTCACACTTGCTCACATTCATACAGGAACACACAACACTCACCTGCTCATTCTCATACTCTCATGTTCATTGTCACACCTTAGGCCCACTCACTGTTGCACTTCATGCTCAGACTCACACACTATTATTCCCACATACCTGCTCCCCTCATAGCACCTGCCTTCTTCATGGTGGTGACCCCACTCTTCCATCTGCAGAGACTGAGACAGGTCCATGTCCCTCTCCCAGTGAGCAACTCGTCACCATATCCTGTTCCTCTACCATCAGTGCACATGCATACCACCTATGCACACCACTCTCACTACTCTCCCAGTCTCTTATGAGCAGATCTAATTCCCTCTCTCCCTTCCACCAAAGGGGTC